GCGCTTCTGTTTAAGGCAGCATGTGTCCAGGGATGAACGAAGACTACTTGCAGTCCCTGAGTTATAAAACCCCAGTACTGAGACACTGATCCAATAAAAGGGAATGTTTGGGATATGTTTCTTAAACATGGTAAGCACTGCTTGTCACATCAGCAATAAAATGTGTGCTCATATCCAATCTATTCATATATACAGTATACTGTATATACACTGTATGCATGAATGTATGCATCCTTTTTCACATAAAATTAGTTACATGAGTGTCTAAATGTATGACGACATGGAGAGGGTTAAGCCTAGGTCTATACTGGCAATTAACTCCTTCTGCTACTTACATAATAAACTGCTGGGTGATAGTTACCTAGGTATCAGCACATTGATTTCAGCCTGCTGCACTGAGATACAAGGGGTCAAAGGAGATTTAATCATCAGTGCAGACCTAGATGTTTATAATGGATTTCATGTGGTTACACCCCTCTAGCACACCCTATATATACATATGCTCTTTGACTCTTAGTACATACTCTGCTGGCAGGTGAGTGGCTAGGCCTGGCTTGTATGTGTGTAAGCATGGCTTTGCCTTGTTAGGAACCAGTAATGAGTGGGTATGAGTATCTGAGAGATTTTATGTTGTGTTTTCTTATGACTATATGTAGAGGGTTAATAGCTGTAGATGCTTTTTATATATTCTATAGCAGCCTTTTCAACACTAGAACCCTTTCCAGTCTCAGGGAACCTCTGCTAAAAATGACTTAATCTACAACTCCTGATACACTATTGAGATGGACTGTGGGAGGAATGTTCCATACACTTGTGGTCACTGAGAAGAATCCCCCACCCAACTGTATAAGTAGCTAGAAGATCAATGGTGTCAGTGGGAACTTATCTGAGTGGCAAAAAATGGCTCAAAGAACCCCTGCTAACCTCTGAAGGAACCCTGGGGTTCCATGGAACCCTGATCTATACTGATAACCATATCTGTTCTTTTTGATGGTTATCTGAGTGGAGGCTCTGCTATATACAGCATTGATTGACCTAGTTGCTGAAATAGCGCCAGGTAAATTGTATCATACAGTGCTCAAGTGTATCCTTTTTCTGCCCAATTTTTTCCTTTGATATAACTTCATCTATGTAGTGCAAGGGCCTGCCTAATAGGATACAATTGAAAGTGCTGTTTAGGTTTGACCTCGTATTACATGGTTTTTGGTAAATCTAAGCAGTTTTCTCAAGAAAATTGTATAATATATGGCCAGCCTTACACTATGCTTAATTGTGTTATTACCATTAATTCATTTTATGCTTGCCTAGTTACCAATCCGATTGGGTTCCATTATCTCAAACTGTAATTAAACCTATCTACTCCCTGCGGACAGTGCCATGGTTGGCTTGCTCCGATAGCAGTTGTCATTTGGGTGCACCGATTTAGCGGTGGACAATGTATCGGCTAAAAATACTAAACTGCATTTTGCCGATACGAAAAAGATACAAATAATGGCCACTGAAACCAATTTGTTCCTAGGCCGATTAAAAATTTGGAACATGTTGTCACACTACATGTGTTCAGCCTCTCCATTGAAGTCTATTGAACCAAAAACACAACATTTTGCGTTTGAAAGTCCCTGACCCTTTCCCAAAATGCAGCAGCTCAAAGCATGATGTGTCCCTTAGGAAACCATGTTAACATGGGCTGTAGTGCATGTCTGCAAAAAGCACTAAAATGCATTGTGAACTGTGCCTCAATGAGGTGTTTTGGTGCTTATTTTTCTGCACCAAACAAGGTTGTTTGTGGGGGTGTTTTTTTTTTTTTTTTTTTTTTTTAACACTGCAATGGACCAATGTGAAGACACACTGCTCAAAAAAAGTAAAGGAACCCTTTGAAACCACATGAGATCTCAATGGGGAAAATATTATTGTGGATATCTATACTGATATAGACTGGATAATTTTAGGAATATAAGGATGCCCCATTGTTTGAGAATGATCAGCCTAGAGAGGACTGAATTCAAGGACACCCCAAAAATCAAAGTGAAAAAAAATGCAGCAGGCTAGTCCATTTTGCTGAAATTTCATTGCAGCAACTCAGAATGGTACTCGGTAGTTTTTATGGCCTCCACGTGCTTGTATGCATGCCTGGCAACATCGGGGCATGCTCCTAATGAGACAACGGATGGTATCCTGGGGTATTTGCTCCCAGATTTGGACCAGGGTATCACTAAGCTCTTGGACAGTGTGAGGTGCAACCTGGTGGCATGGGACAGACCGAGACATTATGTCCCAGAGGTGTTCTATTGGACTTAGGTCAGGCGATCGTGGGGACCATTCAGTGGTATCAATTCCTTTATCCTCCAGGAACTGCCTGCATACTCCACATGAGGCCAGGTATTGTCGTGCACCGGGAGGAACTCGGGACCCACTGCACCAGTGTAGGGTCTGACAATGGGTCCAGGGATTTTATCCTGATACCTGTGACGGAAGCGTAGGCAGGCCAGAACACGCAAAGATGGGGAACACGCAAAGCTTTATTGAACTATGAAAGATACTCAATGAGGACAGTTGAAGGCACTCTGTGACATGCGGCTTGTAGGGACACAGCGTGCTGGGGACAATATCAGGCTCACGGATTCAACGGGACCTTAGCTGTGGAGTCTGGCCTCAGCACAGCTCCCACCCAGCTTTCTAGGGACATCGGTCTCACGGGGACTCAATGGGACTTGGGCTGTGAAGTCTGGCCTCAACAGTGTGCTAGGGACAACATCAGGCTCACGGAGATTCAGCAGGTAGTGATGGCTCAAGTACTCAGGGGTCTCACAGGTAGCTATACTCCGGGCACGCCATGGGGCAGTTCAAGTAAGGGTAGTCTGGGTGTGCTATAGAGGCAGTTCATGCTACAGGTGGTCTGTGCACACAATAGGGACAGTTCATGGCTTCTAGGGACACTTACAATAGGCGTCCTGCAGGTGCTCAGCAGCAGGCAGCTTCCAGAGGGAGGTAGGTGACTTGCGGGCGCTCAGCAGCAGGCATCTTCCAGGGACAAAGTGGTCAGCAGACAGGCCGGCTTCCCAGGGACCCTCAGCAACAGACGGCGGCCCTCACAGCGGCCAGCTTTTCAGGGGACCGCAGCGGTTAGCAGGCAGGGGCCCTCCCAGTGGCCTGCTTCTCCAGGGGCCCACACAGCCTGCTGCAAGGCTGTGTGCAATGAGGGGGGGGAGGGGGAAGGGTGTGAGCGGCGGCACACATGACAATACCTAATGGCAGTGAGGGTGCCATTGTCTAGTCTCTAAAGGTCTGTGTCCCTTCATGGATACGCCTCCCCAGACCATCACTGACCCACCACCAAAATTGTCATGCTGAGCAATGTTACAGGCAGCATAACCTTCACTGCTTCTCCAGACCCTTTTAGGTTTGTCACATGTGCTCAGGGTGAACCTGCTCTCATCTGTGACAAGCACAGGGTGCCAGTGGCGGACCTGCCAATTCTGGTGTTCAATGGCAAATTGAGCTTAATGGTGCTGGGCAGTGAGCACCGGGCCCACTAGATGACATCGGGCCACCCTCATGAAGTCTGTTTCTGATTGTTTGGTCAGACATTCACATTAGTGGCCTACTGGAGGTCATTTTGTAGCACTCTGTGCAAGAGGAACAGAAGCACTACCAAAGGAGCAGATACCGGTCCTGCTGATGGGTTAAGGACCTTCTATAGCCCTGTCTAGCTCTCCTAGAGTAACTGCTTGTCTCATGGAATCTCCGTGCTCTTGAGACTGTTGGAGACATAGCAAATCTTCTGGCAGTGGCATGCATATTTTCCATCCTGAGAGTTGGGACTGCCTCTACAACCTCTGTAGGGTCCAGGTATCTCCTCATGCTACCAGTAGTAATAACGCTGAGCCTAGCCAAATGCAAAACTAGAGAAACTTAGAAAAGATGAGGAGGGGGAAAGTCAATGGCCTCCACCTGTAAAACCATTCCTGTTTTGGGGGTCATCTCATTGTTGGCCATCTAGTGCATCTGTTTCAGTTTCAGCTGCTCTGGTGTTAATGAAATCAACCCCCTCTGCTACTTAACTGACCAGATCAATATCCCAGGAGTTTCATTGACTTAATGTTCTACTGATTAAAAAGTGTTCCTTTAAATTTTTTTTGAGCACTATACATTGAATTTAAAGGGATTCATTTTTTTTTAACTTTTTTTTTTTTTGCAAAAAGCGCTTCAAAAATGCTCAGTGTGAAAGCAGCCTATTGGCCATAATATGCATATTTCAGATTTGTGATATTAGTCGAATATAATACAAATACTGTTTATTTCTAAATTAAAGGGCTTTTCCAATTGGCCTGCTACAGAATCTGAATATTAAAAAAAAATTTCAAGTTGCTTATGAAGGATCTTTTCCCTTTAGTTCAGTGTGGCATCCTTGCTGGAGTATTTGGAGATTTGCTGCTCTGGTAGACTACATAAAAAGCATAGCTGTTGCTCAAGTCAACTATCTAATGTAACAATGTCCAGAGATGGGGTGAGTCAGGCAGGTAATATGCCAGTAACTAGTTTCAAGTGATCTCTTGACTGCATTACCATTTCTACTTCCAACATATTGGCTTGGTCTGTGCATTTTGTTATGACCACTCCAGTTAACGATAGTCAAAAGTTGTATTTGAAGTTGTATGGTAGCTATGGGTAATTGTACTTGCAATGTTTCTGTAGCATGGGGGTAGTAAAATCTGATATGCAGCCAGGTAGAATGAAGTCAGACTACGCAATTACAGTGTGCATTAGGTTCAACCCTGACTTCTCATTCATTTGCAGATAGTTTTTGGGATTGCTTTTCCATGCTGGCATGTATGCCTCTGTGGTATAGCTTGTATTCTGATGAGAACCACATTCCTGCAGTAGTCATGTTAAGACACATGATTGGTTGGTGTCACAGAGCTGGTCATATTGTACATCGTGTAATCCTAATAACCATGCTTGTCTTACAGAGTTGCTTTGTGGGCAGGCCATCTCAAGCCATGGGGATCTACAAACTGGCAGTTTCCACAGGGACAGACCTGGATGCTGGCACCTGGAATAACATATTTATTGTGCTTGTTGGAGTCAATGGAGAAAGTGATAAACTCCAACTGCCCCGTAACTGGGAACACTTCTTACCTGACACTGTGAGTGTATCTTGGTATTGTAGACTGAGTTGCTAGACCATGAGTTACTATCGGGTGAATGCAATGGTAAATGGAACAATTGATCAATAGTTACCCATGACAGTCATTGGTGTGACTATAGTGAAGTCTAGACTCCCCTGGGGACTGCATGTTGCATATTGGCCATACAAAGCCCATAGTAACATGCTGATGAAAGGAACCTGGCGCAAAGTCCATAGTGATATCATGGCTTTAGTAAGCTTATCTCACTTGTGGTGCCTAGTTTAGTATTTCACAAAAATGAACTACACTAACTGCAGCAGATTATGTAATGGCTGTATCTGTTTTCATTTTTTGCTCACATTGAAGCAAAACTAAACTCTCAATCAACATTATTTAAATATGCTGCTAGCCTTAATGGATAGGAGGGTATATTGTGAAAACTCTTGTATACATTTCTTCAGTTGGTTTCTGGCCTAGGCCAAAATGACATGCATCCCAGGTGTATTCGTGGGCATTTTTTTTTTTTTATTGGGAGGAGGGAATTTCTTGGCTAAGCATACCCTCATGCTTGAGCTAAGGACTGATGGATTCCAGGAAGTGAATGCTGTGTGAATTGTCTGCCCTTAAGATGGCCACAGTTAGAAATGCTAGGGGATGTTTTATCAAGTAATTTCTCAACCAAATAAAGCATTGGGTGGATGGGTTTGCTTTAACTATTCAGTGAATCAGTTTGTTGCTCAGATACAATTTAGTTCTGCTTTTAAGGAGGTTGAACGGTGCACTAAAAATGGTGGTTGGGTTTGAAGAAAATAAGACTAGCATGTAATACCTTGTCATTGCATGAACAGAACTCTAAACGTGTACATCTTGGGTCCCCAATTACTGGGCTCAGTGCAACCATTCCTTAAAATCTACACCTTGGGGTACCTGTGTTCAGAATGTGTGCCCCTAGGCAGTTTCTTCCAACTCCCCCTGAAGTCTGAGTCTCATTGGACCATAGGACCTGTGGTAGAAGGTAAAACACTTGGTGCTTTTGTCAAGATTTGACTTCTACACTAGGTGTAGCTATGAACAAATCTGTATTTCCTTCCCCTGAAGGACTAAGGGGTATATTAAATCGCCCAAAATTCCTTCAATTGGATTGCAGAAAGTACACCTTAAGGATTTTAACCAAAAGCTCCTTACTGGTCAACACCAAAGATGCTTTCTGGCTTATGGGCTTGCAAGACATTCTCAGAACCAATAATTGCATACCTTGAAACATGTGCAACACTCAAACACTTTGATTTGTAGTTGGTATGGGCACATCTCACTATCATCTTCTCTTGAATCTACAGGTGGCAGCGATTGATTTAGAGATTGATAAAGATCTTGGTGAGCTCCTGCTTGTTCGGCTGTCCATGGAGCCTTATTTAATTTTCCCTCTGGATATCTGGTTCTGTCGGTATGTTAATGTGACCTGTCCCAGTGGCCAGCTCTACCAGTTTCCATTTTATCAGTGGATGCCAAAATCTATGCCTGTAGAGATCCCAGAGGGAAAGGGTAAGATGTAACTTATTTGACCTGTTCTGTGTTAATGGTTTTTTACTATCTCAGTGGACTTTATTCTACTGTGGAATACTAACTGACTTTTTTTTTTTTTTTTTTTTTTTGTCAAGTCAATATCTAACCTCAGCTTGTTCAGTACAGCTTTGCTACCATGCGCAAATGCACCAGGTTTTGAACTCCAGTTTTAGTAGATAAACTTCTATGGCTTATAAAAATGTTCTGCCGCTTAAACTGAATCAACACCTCAAAACGGATAAGACTGACAGTTGACCTTTTTTGTAGTAATCATTTGGGTTGATGACTGTTGGGGCTCTATGTAAGGTAGAGCTAAAGCAAGCAAAATCTTTTATTTTGGATAGAGTAGGGGAGGGTTAGAATACCTGTCAAGCTTTTCACCTGTGCCCCATTGGGGAGCTTTCCCTTAACCTCTTGCATAAGCAAACAGTGAGGAAATCCATCCAAAGTGATACATTTGTTAGCAGAGCTAGTGTCACATTTTGGAGGGTATCTCAAAATACTGTTCTATGGACATTCCAACATTTGGGATTTTTTTCACTTTTTGAATGGTGAATATAAGGGATGCAGATGACGATAAAACCTGTCCCTCACCATTCTAAACTGCCTCACCTGGTTGGAGGAAAGGCCAGCTGGACAACCCATCAAGGGACACGTGAGGAGAAACTCTCCAAGGTCACAAGGAACAGGACAAGGCAGAATGCACAAAGCAAATTGTAGCCACATGTGGAATCCTGGTATGCATAACTTTTGATCCACTGTGGCTAATTATCTAATGGTGGACAATTTTTGTATAAAGACTAGAACCATTGTTTTAACATGTGTAAGGGTTTAGAAAACTCTAACCTGGGAAAAGTAATATAGAGGTCATATGACTGGAGAGCCACTGAGTTAGTTGGTGCCCAGCTAAAATGCCCTTATTGGTCACCACTCAAAGGAAAAATGCTGCATTGTTTAGGTCCAAGACCTGTCTATGGTTTTGACTTTAGTGTTTAAAGCTGGGACAGTCTTTCAAAACCATTGGAAACCGATGCCAACACTCCAGATGCATCAATACAGGCTCTGTGGAATTGGTAGCTGTCATGTAACAGAATTTGTAAAACCTTGTCATGTGGGGCAATTATGGGTAAAAACTGGTTGTAGTTATGCAAGTCTTTGTTTCAGGTGGAATTCTAAGTGGGAATACCCACTCTGCTCTTGCCCAACAAAGAAAAGTAGAATTGGAGCGGAACAGAGAAACTCACAAGTGAGTAATGGCATGTGCTTGGTATGTGGTGGGTGTCATGTTTGACACACAGCTTTAACTTTGACATACTATAACCTAGTAAAGGGGTCTTAAATCCATAGCGGTCTTGGCAAAGTCTCCCTTGGACACATTTTTGTACTGTCTAGCATACCCTTCATTTCACCACCTCCAGAGGTATTAATGTCCTATCTGTTGTATTTACATAGTCTGGATGGACTTGTGTTTTTTTCAGCCAAACAAAGTTATAGTCCTATACCCAGTTGATTCAGAGGAAGGCAAAAAACCCAGCAAAGCATGATTCAATTTGTACCTGCAGGGGGAAAAAATTCCTTCCATGATTCCACGAGAGACAATCGGATATTCCCTACATCAAATTTTGCCTATTTGATAGTGGATTGATTTAAAATAGGCCTGGATTCTTTCCTAGATATCAAGAATATAACTAGATACTGAGCTGGCAAGAACCAACTCTTGAGGGAGTGTATTCTGCATTCACAGCTCACTGAAGAAGCCTTTATGTCTGAAGGAAAAGAAATTTAATCGTTAAACATGAAGTGTGCCCCCTTGTTCTGTGATTACCTCAGGGTGAATAGCTCTACAGAGTTCACTATATGAACCACTGATGTATTTATATATATATATATAGATCATATCCCCCATAATCTCCTTCTCGAGAATAAATTCAGTTCCTCTAATCTTTCCTCATGGCTGAGCTTCTCCATGCCTCTTATCCGTTTGGTTGCCCTTCTCTGAACTTTCTCCAGTTCCCTAATGTTGTTGTGAATTGGTGCCCAAAACTGAAGTGCATATTCCAGATGAAGCCTTACTAATTTGTACAGGGGTAAAAATATCATACCTCTTTAATACAAGGGGATTTTGCTTGATTTAGAAACCATAGCTTGGCATTGCATGCCATTATTAAGCTTATGATCTATCAGAACTCCCAGATCCTTCTCATTGCTTCCCACAATTGTATGAATTTTTTTTTTTTTTTAGCCCACCCAAGTGTATAACCTGTTATTCCACTGCACAGCTTGGTGCCATCTGCAAAGACAGAAATTTTATATATATATTTTTTTTTTTTTTTTTTAATTCCACACCTATATCATTTATAAATGTATTTAAAAAGTAAGGTTCCCAACACTGAACCTTGGGGTGCACCACTGACAACTCTAGACCATTCAGAGTTATGGATCATTAACCACTACTCTTTGAATACAACCTTTTAGCGAGTGTTCTATACATCTACATACAGATATTTCTAAGCCCGTAGACTTTACCTTACACATTAGCCGTGTGAGGAACTGTCAAATGCTTTTGCAAAATCCAGGTATATCGCATCCACCGCCATACCTATCCAAGATTTTGCTCACCTCCTTAAAAGAAATCAGATTTGTTTGAAAACTTCTGTCTATGTGGTGTGTGGTTTTTTTTTTTTTTTTTTTTTTTTTAAAATAAATTTTTCAAATCATTTCAACATTTCTATTAAAATTTATCAACTGTATTTTCTCATATAATTTATATATATAACTTCCTTTTCTTACTTACCAGCTCCACATTTTCTCTTCTCTGATTAAGTCCATATTCTGTTTCTAAACCCACTTCCAGGAATATCTCTTCATATATTTCACCTTTTCTCTATTCTTCCCAGCCTTTCCATTTTTTATTATACATCTCCAACATGTCCTCATGCATGTAGTACAATCTTTCTTCCCTGAAATCTGATTTACTCTACCCATCCAATCCTCAGTTGGCACCTCTTTTCTTCCAGAACCTGGGTATCGGGCTCTTTGCTGTGGACAAGTAATGCCATATCCCTGAACTCTTATATGCTTTCACTGAGAGTTCTGAGATATGGAGGAGACATAGTTCTGGATCTAATCCTATATTGATTTTGGTGATTTTTTTTCCTATCAAACTATCCTCTGCCAGAACACCTGTATTTCTGGACACTCCCACCACATATGATACCACGTGCCCACCTGCCCCACAACCTCTCCAACACATCTGTGAAATTTCCGTGTTTATCTTGTGCTCCACATTGGGGGTAATATGCCATCTATTCAAACACTTATAATTTTCTACTTCCCTCATACTAATATTTTCGTGAATTAATGTGAGCATTTTACTCTGCTCCTCCTCTTTTTCTTCACATATCTTTCCCATTTCTCTGTGCATTAATTTTGTGTTGGTGTCAAGTTCCATTAGTATTTGTGTATTTTTGCCATTCCGTGTCTACCATATCCCTGTGACTCAGATGCTCTCAAATGGATTCCAGTCTTTTGTAGTTCTTATAGGCTTTGGAAGGCTCTCAAAGTACTTCAGTTGGTAATATATGCTCCCTTTCTTTCCTCTTATGTCCTTGTATGACCTGATTTTTTTTTTTTTTTTTTTTTTTTTTTTTTTTCCCCCCCTACCATTATCTCTCAACTGCACCTTCTGTTTTATAATCCAATTCCCTGCTATACTATCCTTACCCGGGATGAATATTTTGTTCCTAAGTGGTATTAATTGTGAATTAAAAACCCACCCCCTTTTATCTATGTAATAAATCCCATTCTTTTAAAACATTAAGAGTGTACGTGCTTGTGCTCTCCTCTCTAATTCCCTATATTGTGCAGGTACCCAGATACTTTTACTTAAACTTATTCCACTCAGTGCTTTCTCAATTTTAACCCAACTTTTCTCCGGATTATGAATCCAGTTGAAGATTCTCACGATAATCCCCGCTTTATATTATCTCCTAAAATCTGGTACACCCAGTTTTCTTTCCTTCTGATCAACTTTTCATAACCTATTCTAGGCTTTTTATTTCTCCATATGCATTTTATTTTCCTAAATTCTTTAAAATATGCCTCTGGGAGTTTGATTGGGATCATTTGAAATTTGTATAATACTTTAGGGACAATTACCATCTTTATCAAGTTTATGCGACCTATCCACGATGGGTTTCCATTTCCCACTTTCCTCAACTCCTCAATCTCATTTAATAATGCTATATAATTGGCTTTATATAGGTTCTTAATTGAGGCTGATAGTTTTATTCCTAGATATTTTAATTCTTTGTCTCTCCAAAGGAAAGGGAATTCCTCTTGTAATTTTTTTCCTTTTCGCTGTTTTTAAAGTTTAAGTTTAAGATCTCAGTCTTTGTCGGGTTAATTTTTAGGTTCGACAGTTCTCCATACTCCCTCAATGCTTTCATTAAATTTGGAAGTGATGTTCTAGGGTTTCCAACATAAAACATCAGATCGTCCGCATAAGCCACTACCTTATGTTCTCTATCTCCTATCTTTATTCCTTTTATGTCTGTTCTTCCTAATCATGTGGTATTTTATTAAACTCTCCAGTATCTTCCCAACTATAGAACTTAAACAGGTCTATAATTACTTGGTAAATATTTTGAAACCTTTTCTAAATATTGGCCTTTTGCCAATTCAGTGGTACTATGTCAGTCATTAAAGAATTGAGCTGTCCTTTCAAAGCCATTGCTTCTAAGGACCTGTGGGAGTATGCCATCCGGTCCAGGTGCTTTTTTTTTTTTATTCCCTTTTTTTTATATACGGTCTAAATATTTTTGGATCATATCAATTGTGAGCTAATATGGATCATCTGGAGCTGTCAATACCATGCCCATTATGGGCAAGAGCTCCCCATGCTCCTTTGTGTGTGTACTTTTTTTTTTTTTGTCCCCAGTTTTTATTTTTTTTTTTTTTTTTTTTTTTTTTTTTTTTTTTTTTTTTTTGAATTTTTTTTTGGAGGGTGGGGGTGGGTTTGGTCCTGCTAGCTTTTTGCCATGTTTTTGCACTTTTTTTTATTTCCTTTTTGCATATTCTGTTATGTTAATGTTTAAACTATTGTGTTCCTTTATTTTTATATTTAATATTCCCTCCCAGTCTAGTCTTGAAGAGCAGCTCTCAGCCTTAGAATATTGGCTCTTAAAGTTGAGCTTTTTTTTAGTTTTTCCTGTATGTTCTCACGGTTTACAGCTAACAAACAAAATCATGTTATGGTCATTGCTACCCATAGATGTTTTTATATGGACATTCATAATAAGCTCTGCATGGTTTGGGATTACCAGGAACAGCAGAGCATCATTCCTAGTTGGGGCCTCCATGAACTGTACCATAAAGTTGTCCTGTAGTAGGTTTAAAAATGTTTGCCCTTAACTGTTCCTGCAGTACCATTACTCCAGCCAATTTCCAGTTAGTTAAAATCCCCCCATTATCACTGTTCTAGCCCTTTCAATCTGTGCAAAGGAGCTGAGTCTCCACCTCAACACTGGGAGGCTTATAACAAACTCCAATGATTACCTTTTGTAGTACGCACCCCCATGTACAGTTCCACCCATAATACTTCAGCCTCATCACTCTAACTAGGTCCTCTTTCACATTCGCTCTGAGATCACTTCTTACACTGACACCACCACCTTTCCTATTTACCCTGTCTCTCCAAAAGATAACATAGCCAGGAATATTAATGGCTTAGTCATTTGCTGAATGAAGCAAAAATTCAGCAATACCAACTACATCCTAGTTCTCTTAATGCACCAAAGCTTCCAACTCGCCCATTTTGCTTGGTAGACTTTTGGCATTGGTGAACATGCACTTTAAATCCTAGTTTTAAATACTCCTCCAGCCTTCCCATAAACCTACACCCCCCCCCCCTTCCCCAGCCCCCCCCCCATTTAGGTGCCCCATTAGGGTGCACATGAAGTCAGGTAACCCAAATTTCCCCATTAGGTCCCATGCATTGAGTTCTCTGTGCCCCTGTCTTCCCTGACCTGTGCATGGCACAGGTAATTCAGAGAATCACCTTCAAGGTCCTTCCCTTCAAATTGCAGCCTAGTTATTTAAATTGATTCTTGAGGAGCTTCCACCTTCCATGTATTCTGCCATTGGTTCCAGCATGGACCAAGACAGCTGGGTCATGCCCAGCCCCTCCCAGTAATTTATAAACAGTCCACCACATGCTGAACCCTGGCACCAGGGAGACAGCAAACCA